TACTATTACTATATATACACACACACACATATACATATATATATATATATATAATCTACAATTATACCCCAAAAAGTACATTACTTATTATTTAATTATTACATTAATGAATCTATTTATTATTTTAAAGCTACATTAAGTTTGTTTTAGATATTATTCTGATAATATAATATTTGTTGTTTCTTTATTTTTTTAGTAATTTAAGGTTTCATTAAATTGAATGTGAGAATGCAAATACTTGAGAATTTGCTATTTGGAATAGGAGCATGCTTGTTTTGCAATTTCATGAGCTTGAATGGGAAATTACAAGAAGTTTTAATAGCGTGTTAATTTTAGTGAATTTTATGAGTTGAAAGAATGTAGAACCCAGTTTTTATACGATTGTTCAGTTTTATAATTTACTTTATCATAAGTGAACTTTACTTCTCATATCTATACTTAATATATTTTTATGCTATTAAATATTATATACTCCCCTCGAAAAGTCATTTAAATTAAGATCAATCAAGTACCCTATATTCAGAATTGTGTTTGTCTCGTTCATTTGGTAAATCAAAACGTGAGGTAAAGCTCGACTCATCCACTCGCACTGTTTTAATAAATCCAAAACATAAATTCATAAATCCTAATCAAATTTGTTTGTGAACACAATTATAAACTTGATCAATTGTTCAAACTCGTCTCGTTTAAATAAATTCGCCCTCAAACTTTAAAAAACCAAACCAAGCTATATTCTTGAAATCGCTTAAGATTGAACAACAGTCTTGTCCCCTCAAAATATTTTTCCTCGATCCGCCCCTGTTGCATGGAGAGGGTGGCTACAAGGAGCCCGGGTGGATTCCATTCTTTCGAAGTGACGCCGGATGAGGTTCGAGAATGGTACACCATGATATTGTTGGGGTCTCGTCTCTTTGTACAAAAAAAAAAGTTACTCCCTTTTACAATTTACTTTGCATGTTGACTTTAAGCCTTTGATTTATTATTTTATTTTATTTTATTTTTTTCATTTATTTTGTGTCATATTGAATTAAATGTGATGGAGGGTTTTTGGGCTGAATTTCATTGATAGAGGTTAACAACAGAAATAATGGCGCTGCTTGTCCTTTCTCAACCAATCTTTACATAGTTTTGACGCTTTGTTATTTAGCCAAAACTGCTCCTTTGATTTTCATTTCTACCCCAAACAATAATTATTATTTTCTCATTTTTCTTTATGTCTCTTCTTTAAATATTTATTTAT